GTAATACAAAGCAACATGAATTTGCAAAGGTAGGATATGAAATATTATGAGGTAACAAGGATATAAAGAATAAAAAACATTCATTAATTTACATAACTGGATAGACAGTAATATCATCTTTTTTGAGGATCTTATCAATGAAAGAGGTGTGATAAATGACAATGTTATTTTAAATTAACTTCATAGTAAACGCAATTGGATAGCTACAAACACTAAAGCTCTATATTCCCAACGAATGGAAGCGGTTAGTAGCGACAAATAAATCAGTTAAAACACAAGTAAAATTACAATGTGGGAAGTTCGTAAATGAAATTGTTGGGGTATAAAAATAATTTAGAAAGAACCAATAATAGTAAAATGTATCATCAATTGGAACAAATAAAATTAGAACAGAATTATTGCTGGGATTACGTGAAAAGTGCATTTGATATTAACAAACACTCAATAATTAGTACATTAGATTTCATCGAAAATACACGATAGACAATAGATTGAAAGTGTTCAAATGGGAGCTGTTTAATAGATAATACCAAGTAAATATTTGATAAAAAGATGGAGGATAGAAGAAAAATGATATATGTAATATATGTCATGTACAAGAAAGTTATGAGCATTATCTTATTAATTGTAAGTATTTTGATGAATTATGGAAGACATTTAATTTTGTACTTGGGAGAGTGAAATAAAATGTAAATGTAAAAAATCTTTAAAATATTGTTTATGGCTACAAAAAAAGTTGTGATTAAAAAATGGCTTGTGATGTTAATGAGCTTTCTTGAACAGGAAAAATACAAAATGTTCCTTGATGAAGGTATTCAATGTAACGTAATGAAACAGGAAATGACTGTTTAATCCTCGGCATTGAAATATGCTATGTCAGTAGGGATTGTCCCAATCACACAGTCTATTTTCAGTGATTTTCAAATGTGAAATATAAGTATGTTCTTTTTAAACACGTAGGAACAGTAAACCAGTGGACACTAAAAATGTAATGTGAATTATATATATGGATTGAACGGCGTTTTTTTAATTTTCATGCCGGCATGAACGCAATTTTTTTACATCCATATTGCATGTTTGAACCAAGCATCAAATTGTCTGCTATCTTCTAAAAATAAAAATAAATAAAATAAATAAAAAGCATTATGATGAAAAAAGAAAGAAAGATGATTCATCACAGAACCAGAGCAGAATAACAGAAACAAAGTAGTATATTAGTTGGTCTTTGTCTAATTCTGTAAAATATATGATTCGGTTTGTTTTTCACTTGTTTTTTTTCATATTGTATACTATTGGTTATTTTCATTAATATTTGTAAAATGTAATTTTTGTATTAGTAAAAATAATGATTATAAATAATAATGATTTTTGTTTCAAATACGGCAATATAAGTTGTTAATTGCTATATGAACAAATATAACTTTTCATATTACTATTTTTAGAACAGATATTTAGTAATTACAATTTTACAATACTTTGACCTGAATTGTGATCAGTGAACTAGAATAGATATATGAATAGTAATGAATGAATATCAAAGTGATGTCAAGCTTTACACATTGAAAAAAATCAAACTTAATACGGAAATCTATTTTAAAAGTAAATACAAAGAAGAATAAGTAAAGTTACTGAAATAACTGATGACTTAACATAAAAAAGGATAAAAAATATTGTTAAAATTCAATAAGAGATCATAAGACAAATACATTGTCTTACATCGTACATTAATTCCTGCTTTGGTTTTTTTGATGATGAAAACATGAGTCACATTTTTTCTGAGCGCTAAAAATAAAATAAAAAGGCTAGGTGTTCAGGAAAAGTATGCATCTGCTGCTTTATCGATAATACCTGCCATGTAAATCGAAGTCATATATACGCAATGTCACGTCCTCGCAGAGAGAACAACAAATCCATAAGACACACTAATGAGCATAATCCAATTCAGATATTTGTTGCAAATATGCAAATACCATATTAATATTTAGATACCAAATATTCTTTTCATATTTATAACTTATTTTTGTTTTTTCATTATAAAATCATAAAATTGTGTAGCTATTGTTTTCAACAGGTACGACAAATGTCGGAATCCTTTTTGTACAATAGGCCTCTTTCCTTTTCATAATTAAGAAATAGTCAGAGACTTATATTTGAATTCACTTACCTCATATAGCAAACAAGCGTCGCAGTTTGGTTGCTGTTGGTTAATGATAGCATCCTTGCAAGATGAAAACAAACATGATTTATAAAGCTAAACATCTAACAAATAATTCTATAAGCGAAAACAAAATGCATATCGTGGTATCGATTATATGAATCTTAATCAAACCTCAATTCAGCTTCATCTGAGCTGGTGTCTCCACGGAGATCACAACGGAACCGGAAACCGCCATACAGGCTCGGCCAGGGGGTGTGCTCAGTAAATGCTGTTTGTGGCAATCGTGAAATTCAGGTGTAGTAATATATTAATTTGACTATAGTCATTTGGATTATTCCTAAGGAACCTTAATAACTAAGCCATTGTACTGTAAATTAAGGATCTGGTGGACAAATCGTTTCACAACGTTTTGCGCAATAATCCATACTTTCAGGAATTTCCATGGATCACATGCAGTCATTCGGAGAAAGATGGAGTTAACAGATTATTTTCAGGAATTTGTAAATAGATGTCTTCATGATTGATTGATTGTATTACAGATTTTTATTCAGATAATTACTTTGCAGGGTTTCAATTACTTTAGTTATAAAACATTCAAGGTAATAATAAATGTGGGACACATTTTACCCCAGCATGGGAGTATGTAACTAAGGTATATACATACACACACCGCGTATATATTGTGGGAATTTAGGTTGTTTACTTCTCACATTTGTATTACTTTGTTAAGTATAATTGCTGTTTATGATTTACAGACAGGGATCTGTTACTTTCTATGTTATTCACCCTTATTTAGGGTAGGGCTTTTCGTTCAGTGTAGGATTTCTGGCGATCAGCTGCTACGATACCGGTGCTGAAACATGTGTGTTTACACTTTTGAGACGGTCGGAAGTGGGTGATAGTAATAACAAGAATAGGTTCCCGCTTCTCGCTCATATGCTTTTAGATGGTGAGACTGGGTTCGAGATTAACAGTTGGTCACTCATCTTCGAGACTATTTGGTGGGGGAGCAGGGGTAAAAATAGCAGGTCCGGGCGGGGATCAGTGTCTTGACCGGGTCGGTGAACCGACCCACTTCTCCAGGTGAGGAGAACCTTACCGCCTCATGCGCTGTTAACAGTGCAAAACATGGGCCGAGGTGCTGCTAACAGTACCAATACCGTAGGGCTATATGAGGTTATCGTTCCTAGGATATAGATTGATATAGGAACTACAGTACATGTATGATACATGGTGGTTCGCTGTAGATCTATAGGGCGCTAGGCGCACATGGTTGTAGTCTACTGGTAGTACTGTTAGGTAGGATATTCCATTACATTAGTTGTCATTGTTCGGCACTAATGCTATGCTTTGTATTTGTTAAACTTGTTATACATATTCATTCTGTCTTGTAAATAAATAGGTATCTGTATTTTGAAACACCTTGTTGAGTTATTGAATCAATTGCTTGTATTACCACTACATCCAGTGTTCGAACCTGTAGTAAAACAGGTATGTAACCTGACGAAGAGGTGAGGTCTAGGGAGGACTGTAGGGAAATTGTCGACTCGTTACCATTACCAAACACTATACGATCACGAAACGGATTTAACGGAGTGAAAACGGATGCAAACCCTCTCCGGACCTCCAATTATATTTATATTACAATATATAGAGAGAGGATCTGTCATTCGTTTTATCAATCTAATATGAAGGGAAACGAATGATAGTTTCTTTTTATCATATCATACAAAGTAAACTGTACAATTGTGATCTGAAACGAATATGTTGCACTTGTACACACGTTACATAAACATAATTTATGTAATGGCTTTATGACACTGCATAACACGGTATTCATATGATAAATATCATATATATACCTGGGTTACATATGAAATAGTACATACCACATTTATAGAGTATTGCCCCGGGCTTGGTCAAAACGTATCGGTGTATAATTTTCGAACGGCGGTTCAATATTAAAGTAGATTATTCAGTTTGTTCAAGATTGAAAACCAGATCTTTTAACCCAGCCGTCTAAAATCCATCCTATCAATACAATTTGCTCTGGTTTCTTCAACATGGTTTTTCCGCACCTTGGGGTAAGATAATATAAATACTACATTCATTAGAATTAACCCCTTCCCCCATCTTTACCCCAGGGTAAGACAGAGATATGTTTCCCCGACCGGAAGTGCGGATATATCTTTCTAATATGGGAGAAATATGATATATTACTCTTTTTAAAATAAGATTGACTGCATTCGACACCTAAAGTGTTGTTTGTTAAATTATAGCCTCTCTGTCAATTGCAAGTCCGTCTTCTTCACCTTAATATAATAATAAAACGGTGCAGATGATTTGTTTGGAATCAAGAAGTATTTCATTGTATATACATACATCATAACATGTTGTTTTCGCTTCAAAATTTATGAAAATGACAATAACAAATAACGGCGCAAACTTACTGGAACCTTGAAACAATTTTTGTAAAAAACTGTGCTGCAACATTGCATTGGCCAACCGTCGAGAAAAGTCGTTCTTGTTATGTAGCAGTCCTGACATAGGAAATGCAGCGTTCTGCAACAACATCGAGCGAAGTAACTCTGTAAAACAAAAGAAGTCATTTACTTGTATTGTGATGTCGAAATTACTGCTGTCTGTGGAACGTTATAATCGCATATGCTTTAACACCCTTAATTATTATTTATGATAATAGCAATAATATATAATATTTGTATATCGCCCTATATAGTTTTTCCAAAATGACTACATTTTTAAAAAAGGTTTAATACATATCACGGAATGTAATGTTCGGTATGTAGTAACATAAGAAAACAGTCACCTTGTCTTCTGTTGTTGATTGTCTGCATGACAAACAGAAGTGAGTCTCATTTCTTGTCATCTTTTGCTGTAACAATGAAACAAAATGCCATAAAGTTTTAAATTGTATATCAATATTGACACACTATATATGTGATTCCTTTTTAATATCACACCCTATATTATCCAGTCTTTATAAAGCCGTTATCATGCTCAAACCCATCACGTTTCTACTTTTGTCGTCATTCACAAAGGTCTTGCAAATGGATTAAAATGGAAAGAGTAAATAGCTTCAACTCGTGGCTGAGGCTGTCTGTAGTCTTGGACGACGACATTTACCGATGTAGAATTTTTGTTTTATCAATTACATATTACAGTATAGGATAAACTGAAAGCGAGTTTACCTGTAGAGACAAATCTTTGACTCTTTTTTATGGAACAAAATTTGCCATTTGCAGTAATTGTATGGTCTATCAGTCTGCGGTTTCCAAAAGTATCAAGTTCAGTGAGTTAAGTTGTGTTTTTTGGACACATATATCAATATATTGACATTTGCGCTGCAACCCACTATATGACCATTGCCAGCGGAAATGCATTTCATTTGAGTATGAAAGCAAAAACTCTCGTGACTTAACACGTGGTTTACTTATGACGTCATAAATTAACCTTGTTCAATGAGAGGTTTGTCACTTCGCTTAGAATAACATGGAGAATGCCCCTGCGTCAAACACTCAAATGACTACGGTTAATTATTGGCGCCAATTTTATATAAATAGGGCTGTTCCCCCAATGTCGACGCACATACAAAACGCAGTTAATAAATTAATTATTAAAGAACAAATAAATCAAATTAAATAATTGTTCTATAGTAAAAATGTAAATATATGAATTGAACGGCGTTTTTTAACATTTTCATGCCGGTATAAACGCAAATCGGTTACATCCATATTAAACATGATACCCGCTATGGATGTAACCGATTTGCGTTCATACCGGCATGAAAATTACAAAAACGCCGTTCAATCCATATATGCAAAGGCATGTATTCTCATAGTAATTATAATATGCCGATGTGTTTGTTGATTTGAGAAGTACGTTTTAATATGAAATAGCTAAGATGTTAAATACATGCTTACATGATGATCGTCGGTGGATGTGTATGGTTTTGTAACTCTTAATTCCAGACGATAGTTGTCTTTCTGGAACAGGTTAAAACATGATTTTATTCGAATAGAATTGACATCAGGGCCCAGTTGTTGAAAGCCTGCTAAGCGTTCCGAATTATTAACACAAATCTTCAAAACGTGGTTATTTAGAACGATCTAAAACGATGTTTGTTGTCACAATATACACATTTTGAATCCTTTATCATTCAGCCTTTTTTTTTAATTTGAACATTATTTATGCTATTCTTATAAAAATGTTTGTGTTATATTGCCGTTAAAAATTTGGTGTCATGTTGCTGTCAAAATGTTGGTGTTATGTTGCCTATAAGCTAATCAGATATTGATCAACAGGGCCCTGTGATACATTTTAATTACAAGTGTATCTAGGGGAATAAAGAAATGAGGGCTATTCGTCGTATGCCTACAGTTTAAATATATAATATATTTCGATCGATCTCCTAACTTGAAATCACATTCATATGTTCACAGACTGTTATCAACGTACCTGGTTGTCATCTCTGTAGCCACGTCCTATCCTCAATACATAACGTGAACTGCTCATTGTCTGATCATAACAAATACAGAATCAATAGCAAAGCAACGCAGTGCTTGTAAGAATAAGTTTTAAGATTCAATTTACTTCACATACGAAAGAATTTTCGAGGCAATCTGCCCCGTATTAACACAAAAATCATTATCATTAGATAATGTAAAAAATGCTTGTACATTTGGAACATAGAAAGAGTGGATAGGCAGAAATGAGAACCGATTTCCTTCAATGACAAGGGGCATTCAAGAGCACGAATTAGTCACGAATTCATATCAGATTGAACTGACTAATATTTATATATTTCAGCATAAGTGCTAAAGTATGACTTACTTTACGTGATTTTGGAGCTGATGAATGTCTTGGTTCTGACTGCAATGTAGCACAATATGGTAAACTTGATTACTATACTATTACAATATCTTGTCAGCTGACATTCTCCAACATGACGTCAACAAATAAAAATAACAAAAGTTTGAAACTCTTTCCAGCTGTAGCACATTAAAGTTATTTTAGGAAGAGAAGTAGGAGGGATGAAGAGAAGGTTCATAGCAATAAAAAAAGGTCCACTAGATTCAATGCATCCAAATGTTGTCAATTTAAAAGAGCAATTCCATATGAACATCGTTGTCAGTTTTATTGTTAACAGTACGACGTTTATCATCCTTATTTTAATAATTACATTATTACATAGAATGGGTTGATATAGCATCTCTTGATTCAAGTTTGGCATAAGAGTTTGTTTGTGCATCAAATCATTCTAGAAAAGTTGTTTGGTTGCTCAATATATCCTCTATAGGAGATGTAGACAGGGCAGCAGAAGTATTACTAACGCTGCCAAAAACCTCTACGAAGACCGTCTTAAAAATTTAACCGGGCTCTTTACGTGGGAAGTCTACATCAACAGTATATGTGATGCATAGATTGTATTGTAATAACTTTTGTGTCGGGTCACGGCTCCACTTTCCCTCACGTAGTCAGTCCCCCTTTTTGTTGATAACCTTCGCTGTCAAATAAACGCTTTAAGTATACATGTATTTATAGGAGTTAATGTAAACGTTTTACTGACACTGTAGAGTCATAGGTGGCGCTAAGTTCGTCTGGCAGCAGACTATAAAAAGTCGTCAGCTAATATGGGTGGCTCGTCTGCTGGATAACCGAACATCTCGGTAGTGAGGCGGACGTAAAATCTATCAATCAATCAATCAATCAAGGGTGGAATCATGTAGTTGAAAACCCCATCAACCAACCAACCAACCTTCAGCACCCCACTTCTTGTTCGATCGTCGACAGTGAAAAAAAACACTTGTTATAAGGTAAATATACCAGTAATGATACAGACGTGCCTGAACAAGGCTTCCCCGTATCTTACTGCAAACGTATAGAGGTAATTTACTGAAGAGTAAGTACGGAGGTAGATGTGCCTGAGCAAGGCTTCCCTTCTCCGCTACGGCTACTCTGTGTGATCGGTATATCACGTGCTTGTAAATTATACCTTGGGTCTGCCCTGTGACCGAAAGAAAGTGCATGGGAGCACTTGGCATGTAATAGCTAGAGAGTACTCAGTAGTTACTTTGAGAGGCTCGGTTTAGCTCCTGTCTTTTTCTTTAGGGTGCAGGGGCTCCATCAATAATGATGATTATGTCCTCGGGGGTCCTATCACAGAGGCGTGAAAAGGGGGTTATTAGATTGTCAGAGCGAGTGCTCGGTTATTTAATTCATATCTTAGGCAGTGAGGGCTCGTTTTGAGGAGTACTCATCTCATTGATATTTGTTTATACTTGGTATTTAGTATTGCTAAATCCCAGGTAAGGAGTAATCAAGCATTGGCTAGGGAATACTCAGTATTTCATTTCGAGTACTCATGTTGTTGTTATATATTTCATAGTTGTTAGATCATAGTGTTGTACATTACTCATTACTCAGAGGGACTGAGTGTTTTTAGACAACAGTGATATTGATTAATTCATTAGAAAATGTACCCAATTATGCAATTTACTTTATTTGTATACATTTGCACTGAGTAGCTCAAATAGCATCTACTTGTAGTATAGACAATAGGGATCTTCAGTGGAAGTGACTGATACGAACCCTTGTAAACGTCACACTTTGCCAAGGGGTACGACCACATCCTTGCAACGGGGACTGGGTAGAAAGTACTATACAATCACATTCAATTAATTCTATACATATAAAAAAGATAATTATTTCGCGATAATAGGTATCATGATCAATAATATCATTTAAATGTTTCTTCCTGCAACCGCCCAATATTTGATCAAATATGACCAAAAAATCAGATATATTTTAATTTCCTTTAGAGGAAAAGGTCTTTATTTAAAACTACTGTGAAAAAAACCTAAAACAACTTTTCAAATGACAAATAGTGTGAAATACGCACGTTTTTCCGAAGTGAATCTTGCCACAGACATCCGCTTTGCATGCCTTCTGAAAAAGTGTGAATGGAATTTAAGTCTTCCAGTTAATTATAGGTCATGCTTCACTCATCAGCTTCTACTGTTATATTAGCTAGACAGAATGTTGAAATACTTCACGTACTTGAAATTGTCAAGTAGTAGAAAATGTCCCTTGCTAATAACAGGTCATGAGATGAACATTTGTGTCAACATCCCCTAAATTATTAAAACTGAAGTAAAAAATAGATTTAACCTTGCTATGCTATGATTGGTCCAAAAGAGATTACGATTTATTAAAAGGAAAGAGCTAGTATAACAAGTAAAAACAGCAAGCAGCTCATACATATTTAATTAGCAAGGCATGCTCTTAACTAAGAATGGTATTCTGAAACACAGATGATGTTTCAGTGACCACACTTGATCAAGGCCGTCAACAAGATTCAGTTTATGTTGTGAAGAGGATGAATACAAAGTATGGACCCAAACGTTATTCTTGAATAAGTGATTGTTGTGCTAGTGTTAATAAGGTGATCAGTGTAAATTCCGTTTCCAATTTATCGACCGGCAGCACGCCATTTATTACTAAATTTTGCTATTGAAAATGAGCAAATTTACACGCTTAACAACATACTCATTCGTACTAAGTATTCATTTGTTCTTCTTTCATATCTTTTTGATGACATGTTCAGAAAATTCATCAATTGTGGAACCAATTTTTAAAACACTACACACCTCTTTTCAAGCTTAATCTATTTAATTTTTCTAATTCTACCATATTCATTATATGGACCTTTTGTGTCGATTTGATTAAATATCTAGAAAGCTAAAAAAAAATACAAAGTAATTCTTGATTTGAATAGGTTTGGTATTGTTTATGATGAGGAAAATTTGTTCTGGGTTTCGTCACTTCCGGCTTCACAGGGTGCACATCTTTTTGATGTCAGGTTATAGATTTATGATGAAGTTTTAATAGTGTAATATTTTCATCTAATTGTATAATCCTACCCTTTCGTAACACCTGGTCTTATTTTTACTTTTTCAATGGTATCCATGTAAATCTTTTCTTTCAGTTCGAGTTATGGATTAGTTAACACTTTAATATGCTCTTGTCATTGTTTTGCTGTACATGTATTATGACTATGGAATGGCGGAGACTTTGTTTAATTAGCTACAAATATCCCATTCTAATAAACAAATGAAAAGCGTTAGGGGGTTATTACGCCACGGTTTCTCACCATTAACACGATATCTCATCTGGGTGAAAAATCAATGCATTTACTGCGTTCTCAATACCATTTCTCGTCCGGGGTAAGAAGAGTAGGCATATAACTCGTTGTCATGTACAAAGATTAATTTTCATTCTAGGCGAATATGGTATATTTAGGGTTATATATACATTTCCTGCATGGCAAGTTCCCTGATGTTTTGGCAAACTATTCATATAGCTTCTTCCTGTAGCATGTACTCCTAGTCTTTATATATTCCTCCAAACGAGTTTGAGGACATAATGGTTTTGCTGCGTTTCTTGATTATTATTATGTCCTTCAAATGAGTTTCAGGCTTTGTTTATCCTAATTCTATTCCTATATCTAGTTTTCAGAAATTATGCAAAGGAAACTATATTAAAACATGTATTTCGTCCTCTTTAATATGAAGACAATTCCACAATTTCGTGTTTCTAGTGGCAAACGTTCAAATATGCTATTTAATTAATTATTGGTGCAACACCATAGCGAAATTCAGCACAGGAGCTAAGTTTTCGTCAGTTTATAATTCTAAGTAAGTAAGCCTCTCTTTTTTGAAAGTGTAGTTAAACTGCCTATATGTAAGTAGTTTGTTTCCAAATTCCCACATTATTATATGGTTTACATATCGTTCCGTAAGAAACTGTTCCAGATACTTCGAGTCCACCGGTAGTTGCCTTTCGATTTCATCCACGTGATCTAGATATAAAATGTCCTCACGACAAATCATGAAATCATAGAGTGGTAATCTATAATAGTTGCTTACCTGAAAATCAAGTCCCAGGGTTATACTGAATCACTGGAGGAAGCTAGCTTGCAAAAATCCAGCCTGTAGAAAAAATCATTTATAAGTTTTATGAATAGCACTTTTATGTGTATAAAACTTGTTTCTGTATCTCGGTTTGTTTAAACATTCAAACGCTTTTAAAACGGCCAAAGTAATTGTGATCATTTAGCGCACAGTTGATGTTACTAACCTCTCACTCTCTCAAGAATTTAAGTTAGATCCCCAGAGACAGCAAGGTAAGATAATGACCTGAAACGGTAAGTTGTTATACCTCAGATCTCCGCAAAGAAAACAGCGTTTGTTTCCTTTACGGCGTCTTTACGGCTGATGTTTCTTGTTAACAATGTATTCGACGTTAAATAAACATAATTATTATTACATTCGATCAACTTAAACTGTTAAACAGTCCGTGAAATTAAAAAAATAATTTTAATAATAATTTGATTTCAGGATTTATTTTTCAACACTCATTGCATAACCTTTCTCCAACATTTTACAACGTAAAGATCAGCCAATAGAACAATGACGTCATTAATAGGTCACAACATTGTTCTCAAAAAATCACAGAGGAACCAAACATTACTCTCCTGTACAGCTTCCAATGATGTTTGTTCTTGTTAGATCATTCGAGTGTCTTGAATATACAATGAATATTCAATAAATGTCAGATTTTTGGATAAATCTGTAACACATCTAGCGATAAATATCATCACAAATGGTTTATGGACGTTAGCATATTAACACATAATTATGTTTAAGAAATAAAAGAAGCAAAAACGGACTACGAACCTGTCTTTACATTAAAACCGTTCGACCAATACCATTACCACAGATATAGCAACCCCCAAGTTTGCTTTCGTGAAAATTCAAATATTATGGACAGTGGAAGTTCCTATTTTCACTTTGTACTGTTTATGAACCAGAACTTCACCGTTTTTAAAAACGAAAGAGTTAAAAAAAAGAAAGGATAAAAGAGAAAGGACAAATGGATTGAATATCAGTTGATATGAATATAAACTTACAGCTGAGAAAAGCATGACATTTTTTTGTTAATTACACTTTCGTTGAGCATAGATAGTAAGAAATTGTAGAAGCAGATATATATACATATATATAATGCAGTAAAAAGTTTTAGTTTAAACTTTATTTTATTGATGTTTAATTACAATAGTACATGGTTATAAATACAGAAAAGGATCCAGAAACAAGTACATAGTACTTATGTAAATCCGTCTCCTTGAAGACATAACAGCAGCTATGGATCAGTACTGACAATATTATAATTCATATAAATAAATATAAATATATATAAAGTATAACATGTGCAGGGAAAAGAAAGAGAAAGGGTGCAAGGATTTATAGTGGGATGGGGGACGATGTTTGATGGGGAAGCGATGGGCATCAAAACTGCATTGAGAGAACAAACGCTGATTGCATGAATACAAACCACAACAAACATGATTACTGATATGAATGAAGTAAAAGTTTCTTTAAAAACGTCTAGACTGAATGATGAAGTTTTGGACACAGTCAAAAATAATTTCGTTTAAGTTAATTGGTAGTTCGGGTCTACCATAAAGTAAAAAGCTTACATTATAGTTAGGAGGTAGGCGACTAAAACATTGGATTCTCAGCTGCTGGTAGTTAGGACAGTGGAGGAGGAAATGTTCTGTAGTTTCAGTAGACAAATTACATGAGCACATGGGACTATCAACTAAATTTCGTGCAAACAGGTGAGTGTTTAAGGAGCTGCAGTTCATCCTAAGTCGTGCATGATGGATCTGACCTTGTCTGCTTCTGCAGTAGTAATAGTGCTGAGGAACAGAGAGAGTGTCGGCATTAAGAATTTTTTGAGGTATTGTATTTTACGTTATCAGGTAGTGCATTCCATAAATCAATAGAAGAGGGGAGGAAAGAGTCTTTATATAGATTAGTTCGACAGTTGACTTGACAGAAGTTGTTAGCCCTTCTTGTATTGTAAGTATGTATATTTGAATGGCGAGCAGGTAGAACGTTAGCAAGATAAGAAGGGCACTGACCATGAACAATCTTATGAAATTGGATTAATTTGTGTTTTCTCCTTCGGACAATAAGGGGGTCCCAACCAGATTCTGCATATAGTCTGTCGTGACTTGTGAGTTTGGTTGCCCCAGTCACGATTCTGGCTGCTTCGAGTTGTATGTTTTCAATCAACTGGCTTTGGCCTAAAGTTATGTTGTCCCATACAATATCACCATATTCTAATAAGGGTCTTATAAAAGTATAATATATCGTTTGAAGAGACTTTCTATCAATGATAAATTTTAGATTCCTAATTATGCTAA